TACTCCCGTATCCTTGATTTTATTTCACAGTACCATTCACATGTCATGATTTCACTTTCTGTTCAAGTCTGGTCAGCTGGAGATGTGTGCCTTTTTCTGCCGTCTGTCTGAATGTAAAACTGCTTTTGCAAAGTACTTTTTTCTCAGTTTATTGTATATAATGGCTGAATTGCTCCACCTAAGAAAATATCTAAGACCTTATTCTGGAAGCATCATTTCTTACTCTCAACTGGAGTGGCTAATCAAGAGAAGAAGCAATATTTTCAACAGCAATTAGTCTAGGAGCAAAAGGCTATTATTACTTTAGTGGGTTTTGCACTCATAGATATGTGGGGTGAGCCTTAATAAGCATCTAAAAGGAAGTACCAGAGCAAAGTCTTTGCAAGAGCTTATAATTCTTTTTTGAGAATGTTATTTCCAGAGACTGTGTTAATTTACCCTATCCTTATTTATGCGGGCAGCTAAGGTTTAAAAAAATCAATCTGAAAGTATCACGTGGTGCTTATTCTCCTGGAAGCTGTAAACACTTCTGTACTGAATCCACTTCCAGGGACACTGCTAGCACTTAAGTATTTTTAGAAAGCAAAAGAACCACGTTTTCCCAATAAAATTTCTCAACGTAGTATTTAATTTCTGTCGTGTGGGTGTTTTTGAAGAATATACCAGTGTGTTGCAAAACTGGGACTTTAGTTAAAATATAATTTTAACTGGAAACTTTGCTTTGCCCTGTTAGGATATCAGATTTTAAATACATTGCAGACGTTCATCTGTGCTATTATAGCACAATTTAAAATTATTACTATGGTTTAATAGCAGTTGAAGCGACATATGGAGATTTTAAAACTTGTTGTGAAGTACCTGAACAAATACATATTTAGGTATCCTGAAAGACTAGCCTTAGAGTTGGAGGACTAGAGAGATCAAGAAAAATGAGAAGAGCTTGACAGAAAGCTTGACTCCTGCCTATGATGGTAGTCAGAATGCATATAGGTGTGGCACTTGTGAATTCTAGATATAATTATAGAAGAAAGGGCCATAAAGCAAGAGTTATTTTCTTTAACCAGAAGTACAGCAGTAGCTGTAAAGTATTACTTCAAATAAGGAGAGAGTCGGAGAGTGTGTGTGTGTGTGTGTGTGTGTGTGTGTGAGTGAGTGAAAGATCCTTTGAAGGTCTACCTGTAATCACAGCATTGATGATATCTAGCCAATGAACTGTAAGAGTACAGATATTTGATTGCTTAAGCTAGACAAAACCAGATCAGCCTTGTGTACTTATCTGGAACAGGATGTTGGTATCATTTGAAGAAGGCAGCCCAGCAACTGCATCCTCTCCTACCTCCCACCTGAATTTTATTCTATAGCTTGATTTGATGGGTCAGGTAGAAGCTGTTACTCAGGTCACAGTGAGAACTGCCAGACCTAACAGACTGTTACTCATATAGGACAGGAAGTATCTGAACCCTGGGAAAAAAATTACGTATCTTCATTCTTAATGTGTCCAGTAAGTGCCTTAACAAGGCTTCCACTTACTGAGTTTTTGCTTCTGTAATTAATCAGTGCATCTTATAGGGATAATATCAGACCTAGCAAAAGAAGTAGGGAGGGATGATGCAACTTCTAGTTTGTTTTATGTGACATCTAGAGATGGTATTTGAGGCTTTAGGGTCATGTAAGTGTAGTTTACTACCTACTTACTGTATGAGAGCAGCAGAGTATAGGTAGAAGGCAGAGAACATGGTAATAATATTCCAGTTTCATTTGACATGAGCCACAAGAACCAAATTCTGTATCTCATTTATTGTGTCAAAAGACAAAATATCAACACAATAATGTGAAATTGCTGGCATAGCAGGACAAATATCTACTGTACAAGGACATGGTTTCTGTGTGTTCTTAATAGTCTCATCCGACTACCATGAATTCTGTGCTTCCTAGTGTGATGAGTTGGTATTCTCTGAACTAGCTTCTAGTCACTGTTTCTCTCAAAATATTGTCTTAGATCCCTACCGTTCAGACTGCTAATCAAAATCAAGAGGCAGTTGGTGGTATTGATATATAAGCTCCTGTGCATCATTTATGAAGGGCAAGGTTTTTATACATCTGTGGAACCTCTCCTACTTCAGACTGGTGTAAGAGGACAAGGCCTGTTAGAAGGCTGCTGGGATGGGCAACTATACTATCTTTCACTCCAGCATTTTGAGCCATGTTGTTTCCCTTCTGCTTTTCCAGCATGTGCATGCATATACTCATTAAAACTTAAAAAGTAATCCTGGGCACAAATTGTAGCCATGTGTACCCTAAGCACAACCCTTCCTACTTTACCATCATATGTTAAAGCTGCCTGTAGGCTGCATTCTTGATGTTGGCTGACCATCTCATGGTTGGGAGAAAAGATAATCTTTGAATCTACAACTATGTGAGATGGGTGTTGTTCTAATAGGAAAACTGAAAAATCTTGCTACAGATGGATGGAAGACATTGTTTCCATGATGGAAGAATTGTTACCAGGTTGAACACTTTCTGTCAAGCTAAGGTTAACTGAAGGCCCGTTCAGGACTCTTGGCTAAGTTTCTGCAAGAAATATTTTCTATCCCAATGTGCTGGATTTGTTGGCAGCAGCAGGGCTCTTAATGCCTTTTTGATAATGGTATTGTCACCACTTCAGCACTGTGCCTTAGGGGGACTAAATTACAGGAATGTCATTTACTTTGGTGCAAGCGTTAGACTGTTCAGGCAGTTAATTTAGAATGTACTTGTGCCTCGGCACCAGCATGGGTAATGATGCATGGAATCACAAAATAGTTAAAGTTAGAAGGGACCACTGCATATCATGTAGTCCAGTACCCAACCCCATGAACTTCCATTCAAAAATATTTTCAAAATGGGTATGCAGCACTTTGAGCTACTCATCATCTTTGTCCTGCATTTGAATCACAGCATGCATATAAACTATCCAGCTTTGAAGTGTGACTCAAGAACCCCAAGACACGTGAGCTAAGTTAATTCTTTCACACACACAATATGCAGCCCTTAAGGCTGAGGCTTTGATGGGCCCTTTCCAAGGTCCCTAAAGCCCAGTTTGGGCTTTAGAAACTGTTGCAGACTAATGGTCATTTTTGTCCAGTTCTTTCTTCTAGTGTCAATGCAGTACACATAAATCTTAAAAGTGTTTGAAAGTAACAAAACACTTCCCTCTAATAAGAAACAAAGACCCACATGCAATTTGAAAGGTCTGTAGCTGTTCATGGGTAGCAAGAGATCATGCAGTGAATGGATGCATGCATACATTCTTTCCAGGCTGGCAAGGAAAATGTAGGGCCTGTTGTAGTTACAGTCCTTCCCTTGTCTGGGGCTGAGGTGGGGTTCTTTTGGTTTGTTTCGGTTGGTTTGGTTTCTTGGGGTTGAGTGTGTTTGGTGTGGGGTTTTTTTGGTTGGTTGGTTGGTTTCGTTGTGGTTTTGTTTTGGTGTTTTGTTTGGTTGGTTTTTTTGTTTTGTTGTTGGCAGTGAGTGGTTGGTTTTTTGTTTTTTTTCGATGCATAACATACATGCAAGTATGCACCTAGAATGAATAGCGGGTTTGCTATCTGCCTTCATGAGATTATTTCCATAAATGCACAAGCATTTGGAATTGATTGGTAGATTCAAATTGATATTTTTATTTTTTTTAGTACTGTGATAGTCAACTGAATAAATATTTAAATAGTGCTTAATAAGGCAGGGGACGGGTACCGCTATTGCCTAACCAGTTACGTATGGTCAAAGTTGCTGCTCCTGACATACTTTCTGCTGTTCTATGTATGTTTGACCAAGTAACAGCCAGCTCATGTATGTTTTCTTAAAGGTGTGAGTCTATAACTTGTGCTTGCAGATGCAATGGCTTTTCCAGAGCTGTTGGCTTAGTCTGCATTTGAAATATATAATCCTTTGTGTTTGGATTTGGTTTTCAATATATATACATATACACATATACAAATATATATATATTTGTAATTTCCACCATAAATTTTAGGGGATTAAAAGTCCCAAGATTATATATATAGGAATCTAAAATAATGGGATCATAAAAGGTGGGGGAGGGAAAAGTCCCATCTGCAAGCAATAAGGAAGTTAAAAATAATTTTTGTTGGCTTCTGTGTATGAAAATAAGTACCATACTATTTTCATTGTTAACAATTCGATGTCATGGTTCATGTGCACAGTGCTTGCTAATTCTGTTAAAGCACTATTTTCTCAGATAGGCTTAGTCTGATTTTGTGAAGGAATAAATTATACCCTGGGAACCTAATATTAACAATATGGGAAGGCTCCAGAGATTATGCAGCAAATATTGGTACTTGCATGCAGATTAGAAAGTATTTTTACTCTTCTTAGTTGAGCAGAGCAATTTTATCAGCTTGTATACTGCCTAGCTGCTTCCCTTTGTTGCTCACCTGTAACTGACTGATTCCTGTTTGCTACTGGAAATCGTGATATTAGCACATGACTTGAAGAGAAAATTAAGATATTATTTTCTGCTTATTTATAGCTCTATTAGGTATTTATCTGGTTGAATGGAAAATGTTATGTCTGTAAAGGTTTATGCAGAGTGTTATTAATCTGAAATGTCAGTTTAATTAAGCCTTTGAATGGTAGCAGACTGCTTTGTAATTTAATAATTGCATATTGTTAAGACTGTTGCTACATTTGTGTTCAAAGACTCTTTACCACTTGTCTTAAATGCTGATGTATTACCATTGGTTTTAATGTCATTTGATAGCGTGTATGGTTTGTGTTTTAGATGTGACATCCAAATAGAAACAGTCCTATTACATCTGGAACTGTTTAAGTGCTATTTATCACCTCTGTGAAGGAGAAACAGATGGTTTATTCCTTCATATGTAATAAACTATAAATTTGACCTCACTTCTTTCTTTCACAGATGCAGAACTAGTGAACTCCAAATTTGGAAAGAAAAAGACAAGAAATTAAAAAGACAGGAGGTAGCATAGAGCTCTGGATTACCGATTCCATTTGCGTTCTTTGAAGGGCTATATCCTACCTGTGAGATTGGTGTTTGTATCTTAAGCTTTACCCATCTTTGACCAAAACTATAATCCAAATTGGTTTATGTTTCCAGGCATCTTTTAGACTTTGAGACCTGCTTCATTTGGAGATCTTTACCCTTTAAATTAACACTAGAAAAGACAGTATTTTTCCTTTTCTGACTAAGTGTATATTCTTGCTGTCTCCCAGACCCTGTCATTCCTTTTGAAAAAGCATCAATCTTTCCCGAAGTCTTGGAGACATTCTCCTAAGAGCTCCAGCCCTTCCTGTGATTTAAATGCATTCCTAGCCAACTTGACAGCAGTAGGAAAAAACCCTCACAGGTGTGAAGGCCAAGCATTCATCTCCATTTGGGATTAAGACTTAGTCTGTGGTCAGGCATCCCAGAAATTGTAGCAGCAATACAAATGTCAAATACTGCACTCTGCAAGTAACATTACCCAGGCTACATCATGACCTTCTTCACTGTAACACGCCATAAAGAAAAGGTAGAGTGGAGCAAGGAAATTTAATTTATTTATTTACAAAATTAAAATCTAATTTACATAGTAGAAGAAAAGATACTGGCATGTCTTCTCATGAGAGGAGGAACAAGAATCCACATTATTACAGCTCACTCCCATACAGCTACAGCTCTGTTCTGCCAGAGAAGACTGTGGCTCAAGGCTCTCTCAGGAGCATCTTTAATAAATTTCCCTATGAAAAGTCACTTCAGATTGTAAGTTATGATGCTTAATATAAAAACATTAAATTCTTTGGTTACCAAGAAGGCCATAACCCAGTTCCTTAACACAGGCAGCATTGGACACACCTCAAGCTAAACGTGGGAAGATTTCAGGTATCACCAGCCATGGAACAGGACTACAGCAACGGGCAAACCCTGCAATTACAAACAGAAGAAAATAAATGCAAGTTAAGTACATATTAAAGGAAAAAGTAAATAATGTCCAAATTAATCCAGTAAGGGGGATGCAGTTTTCATGTTCAGATTCTTGGACGGTTCCAGCAACACGCTGCCTCTAACAGAAGGACAGAGAATAAGTGATTTTTAAGGCAGTATGATAAACGCTAGTGCATTTTATATCATATTAATTACAGGAATATTCTTAACGAGCAGAAATTGCCGCCCTCGGGTACGAGTCGCAGGCAGGGCACCCCAGCGGGCAGCGAGACGCCTCAGCAGCCCCGGCCCGGGGAGCGGGAGCGCCGCGGCGGGCAGTGATGACGTAAGGAGTGCGCCGGAAGCCACCTGACTGGAGAGCGGCTGGCGCTCCGTGTCCCCGGTGCCGCCGGTTCTCCCGGCTCGGCCAGGCCCGGCCTCCCCCGCCCCTTGCAGCACTCGGCGCTCCTCAGGCCCCGGGCTCGCCCCCTTTCCTCCCGCCGCGGGTGCCTGTAGGCTGTGGCGCGGGCCGCGGAAGTGCCGGGAGCCGGTCCTGCCGTGGAGCGATGGCCGCAGGGAAGCCCCAGCCCGGTCCGGGCTCCGGGGGGCCGCGCGAGCAGTGGCGACTGCCCGCCGAAGGACACCCCGCGCCGGGCCGACTCCTGAGGTGAGCGGCGCGGAGTCTCCAGCCTTCGGCGTGCTCTTTGTGTGCGGAGGTAGCTGGGGCGGGCGAGGGGAGCCGATCACGCCGGCTGCGGAGCGCCTGGGAAACAGCCTCGTGCACGGGGCTCCAGCATCGCTTTCGGCGGCCCTTAATTTCAGTATTAGCTTCACATATTGAATACAACAAACACCTTAGAGCTTACCGGATTTTTTATTCAGAGACAGCCTCTTAGAATGTTTTAAAGAGAACACAGGCCTATCTGAACAGCAGATGTGCTCAGCTATATGTGCTGAGGAAAGCTGTCAGCAGATAAAAGTTACTGTATGAACTTGTGACTCGATAGGGGCAGCTGTTTCTGTGCATTTGACACCCAGAACTTTCTTGTGTTTTTTATCAATAATGGCATGCCATGTGCAGCCTTTTATAGTGAAGACTGTACTTTTCTGTACTACTATGCCCTGTTAAGAGGTGTACTCTAAGATCTTATTCTATGAAGGTAAAGTGTGTACAAATAAACATACTGTTGAGTCCCACTCAGATTCCTCAATTCTTTCCGTTTGGGAGCTTCCATTAAATTCAGACAGTTGTCTAGTGAATGGAATTAGACCTTCCAGAGAAAATAAATAATTATGATTTTTAAACTGTTTACCTGACATTTGTCTTGCTAATCAATGGTTCCAGGAAGCTGAGACGCCACAGGATAGTATAAGTACATGCAGATCATGTATTTCAGGAGGTGGTATTCAATTTCACAGTTAGTGCTCAGTGGAAATAAACATGGAAAATAGGAAAAAAGACAGAGGAGGGTTTTTTTTAATGCATCTAGGTCAAAGTGGTGCAACCGTGTCAAAACTGATAATAGACCAGCACAAGCTCAGGTCCTTACACAAGCCAAATTCAAATATGACTAATGTATCCTTCACCCAATTTGTTGGACATCTCTTTGTATCTTTTTTAAAAATTACTAGCTACCTGCTTTGTGTTTAAAATAGTTCAGGAGAAAGATACAAATAAGTTCTGTCAGTAACTAGCTTATTGCTCTGCTTATGTGCTTTGGTTTTTTTCTTTTATCAGTATAATCCATGAGTAAACTAAGACAGTGTTTACTTGTTATAATAGGTTCAAAACTTAAACTAACCTTTACTTTATTGGACTCAGAATTTGAAAGTGTTAACCTAAAACAAGAAAGATGTTAACATTCATAATGAATACTAACATTCACTACCTGCATACAATTTACTTTTAAGTCTGATGGGGGACAAATGATAGTTCAAAGTGCATGCAAATGCTTAGTCCTGAATACTTTAAAAAGCATTTGTTCGCTTCATTCTATGTGTTAACGTGCCATTTGGAATACTGATGTACCAGTAATAAAGATGTGATTCTTACCTTGTTTTCTGAACAGAACTAATACAGTATTTTGATGTATCACAGGTAAATTTTTCCATAGCCTTATGGAGAAAAAGGACTTTGAAGCATGGCTTGATAACATTTCTATTACATTTCTTTCTCTGACGGACTTGCAGAAAAATGAAACTCTGGATCACCTGATTAGCTTGAGTGGAGCAGTCCAGCTCAGGCACCTCTCCAATAATTTAGAGATTCTCCTCAAGAGGGACTTCCTCAAACTTCTTCCATTGGAACTTAGTTTTTATCTGTTAAAATGGCTTGATCCTCAGACCTTACTCACATGTTGCCTCGTCTCTAAGCAGTGGAACAAGGTTATAAGTGCCTGTACAGAGGTGTGGCAGACTGCATGTAAGAATCTGGGTTGGCAGATAGATGACTCTGTTCAAGATCCTCTACATTGGAAGAAGGTTTACCTAAAGGCTATTTTAAGGATGAAACAACTGAAGGACCACGAAGCCTTTGAGACATCCTCTTTAATTGGACACAGTGCCAGAGTATATGCACTTTACTATAAAGATGGACTTCTGTGTACAGGTAGGAAGGACAGACAACTTGGAGTCTTACAATTCTTTATTTTCTCTTCCCCTCCTATGATTATTGACAGTTTTCTTTTCCTTTACCAGACAGATTATTTTCATAGTGCAAATGCAGTTTAGATGATTCAAAATTACTTTTTTTTTTTCAATTTCTGAAACACCCGCTGCACTAATAAACCCATTAGTCACTTAAATAAGAAAACAAGGAGATCAATTTCTCCGTTAGTTAAAAAAATAGTAACAGCACGTATCATTGTCCCTGCCCATGGCAGGGTGGTTAGAACTAAATGATCTTTAAGTTCCTTTCCAGTCCAGAACATTCTATGACTCTGTTCATGCTGTTGCTATTAGTAAGCTCATTTGAGAAGTACGGATATGTTAGTTATCCTCTAGGAGGATAACTTTCAGGTAAAGGGGCCTCGTTTGGGCTGTGTGAGCACTTCAGTCTCCCAAAGTGTGGCAGAAAAAGTCCTCTATCTTCTTCCTTGAAACAAGACTGTAAGCACTTTCAGTTCTTAACCTAAGTGCTTTATGAAGACATGTAAACTAGATTTAACCTTGCTACTAGTCTGACTTGCACATAATTTCAGCTTCCTCCCTGAACACTGCAGATTCCAAGATTTCAGTTTGAACTTAAGAATACAGACAGAACATATATGAAGCATTAAGTGTGAAAGAACAGTAACAGAATTACAATGAACTGCTGTTAGAGAATATTCCAAGGATTTCCCAATCATTTGAGATGACAACATTATATGCTAAGTTGAGAATCCTGACTAAGTACTCCCACATTTGTTGGTACTGTAAGATGATTACTAGAAACCAACAACTGAAACTGAGAGAGCTGGGACTTTTTATCTTGAAGAAGATAGGGCTCAGGATGTTATCAGTACCTGAAGTGGGGATGCAAAGAAGAGGGAACCAGGCTCTTTTCAGTGGTGCCCAGTGATGGGACAAGAGGCAGTGGACACAGACTAAAACACGAGAGGTTCCCTTTAAACACTTTTTTAATGTGAGAGTGATTTTACTTTTCTTACTGTGAGAGTGATTGAGCACAGGTTGCCCAGGATGGTTTGGAGAATCCATCCTTGGGCTCACTCAAAAGCTGTCTGGTCATAGTCCTGGGCTGTGGGTTGCCCTGCTTAGTAACGGGACTGGAAGAGTTGACCTCCAGAGGTCACTTCCAACCATAACCATTCTGTGATTCTGTGTAAATGCTATGTTTATAACGAACAAAGATGAGTATAGGATTGGAAATATTATTTACTCTTTGCTTCCAGTTATCCTGTTCTTTTATATTCTAGGATCAGATGACTTGTCTGCAAAACTGTGGGATGTAAGCACAGGTCAGTGCATATATGGTATCCAGACACACACTTGTGCTGCAGTGAAGTTTGATGAACAAAAGCTTGTCACAGGATCTTTTGATAACACAGTAGCCTGTTGGGAATGGAGCTCTGGAGCAAAAACACAGCATTTTAGAGGACACACTGGCGCAGGTATGTTGAAATTTTCGATTTGTAACTTCACCAGTCAAGTAACGTATCATCATCAAACAAATTATAATTTAGTTAGCTCTTTGCACATTAGCTTTTTTGATTTTTATAGGCTCTGTCCTCAGTCACTTGAATCACCTCAGTTCCCCCATAGCAGGGGAAGTGACCAGAACAGATCTAAATCTGTCCTCAAATATGCCAGAGCTTATCTTAGCCATGTAGTATTTTGCAGTTTCATGGAAGTAATACTAAATGCCATGGTTATTCAGTAGTTTCATGTCTACCAAAACGATGCAAACCTTAGATAACATATGGCCATGGCCATTCTTTATATCCCCAGACTGTAGATCAGCTTACAGCAAAGAGCAGAATAGGACCTGGGAATTTGTATTTGCATTTCCCTCATAATTAAATTCTCTGTCCTCTACTTCAAAATATCCTCAACTCAGCTGTAGGTCTGTTCCCCTATGAGTAAAGAGATCTATCAAATGTGCTAATCCTGCTGAAATTGTCTTACTAGAACTCTGGAAATAAGAACTACTTACACTGCCATAATCCAGCCATTAAGGAACCACTGATGTAAATGCTCTTAATTTGGACAAAACCCTCAGTAATTTTGCAATGTAAACTTAAGAATCCAGAGCAACAATTCATGTATACAGTTCAAGAACAACAGTTAAAGATGAAGTAGCACATGAATTTAGAGGCTACTAAATTCATAGAGAGGCTACTAGTTAGTGTCTCACAGAAGAACACAGAGACTGATATTCCTTATTTAGTATCTCTTTGCTTGTAGTTTTTAGTGTGGATTACAATGATGAACTTGATGTTCTGGTCAGTGGCTCTGCAGACTTCACTGTGAAAGTATGGGCCTTATCAACAGGAACGTGCCTGAATACCCTTACTGGACACACAGAATGGGTCACTAAGGTGGGAATATTGATTTCTAATTAATCTCGCAAACACTTGCACTGAATTTGTAACGTGTTCTAAATTTTGTTTTTCTAATCCTAACCCTGCAACTAGTTGTAGAATCTGGAGAACATCTGGAAATTCTGCAAAATAATATTTCAATAGGAAAAATAAAGTAAGCTATAATTAAACTTTTCAGACCATTGAAGATATTTCTATTCCAAAGCAGCTGAAGTAAAATTAGGAATCAGTGTTTGATTCAAAGACTGAATAAAAATTGGTTCTGAAAGAATGCTGCTTTAAGAATGATGTAAAAAAAATCTAATGATCTTGATAACAAAAATCTAAGCATGAAACAGTATTTTTCTTCTGATTATTTCAGAACTTGGAAGATCGGGGGTGACTCTGCAGGTGAAGGGTGTATGTGTGCTTATTAATAGAGTAAATTGGCACTAGCAGGAACAATAAAAGCGTAAACTAGTTTTCTTTCAGTTGTTTCTTTCTTTCTATTTGTGTTGCCTTTATACAAGGATACACTATGCAGGTGGTTAGTGAAGTGACAAATACAAATGAAAGTTTTGTTATTTACCAGCATCGACATAAATTATTGCATCCTTCAATTACAGGTAGTTTTGCAGAAGTGCAAAGTCAAATCTCTTATGCATAGTCCTGGGGATCATATTCTCCTAAGTGCAGATAAGTATGAAATCAAGGTATGTACTATATATATCTCACATATATATCATTTTGGTACACAGGGAAATAAAGTGCTTGAGTACTTTGCTGAAGTTTACAAATAATATAAGGCTTTATTTTCTCCCATATTTTCTGCTTGTGAGGCTGCATACAAGGCATGAAACTCTTTGGAAGCTAATTTTTCAGTGCTTATCTTAAGCAGTAATTATCAGTGCTTATTTAGATTTAAACGATGGCTCTACATGAATGGTAGTGCAAAGAATCGGTGCTTTCAGTGCATGCCTGATGTGCTAACTTGACAGTGAAGCACTTAACTGCAAGTACTGTTACTGTTGGGGACTTTGGGGTTGGAGAGTGCTGTAAGTTTGTGGCTATGGAAGTGTTTCATAACTGAAACGCTGTTAGATTTCTGTCCCAGTTGGATGGTTGGGTTTTTGGGTTTTTTTTGTTTTTTTTTTTTTTGCCATTCTTTAAAGCATCCATTTTCACTGGAGTTTTTTAGGCTAGAAACAACATATACTGCAACAATAGTGTTAGACAAGTCACTTGGAGAATTGATTCCCCTACCTAAAGAAGATAAATATTTCTGAAAAAACACGCACACATTTACCTGATGCCTGGAGAGACTATGAGGCTTGCTGTGTAACAGTTTATAATGTGACTTTTTTATGGTCTTAAACTGTGTTTTAATTGCAGATTTGGCCTATTGGAAGGGAAATAAACTGCAAGTGCTTAAAAACACTGTCTGTTTCTGAAGATCGCAGCATCTCCCTACAGCCCAGACTGCACTTTGATGGTAAATACATAGTGTGCAGTTCAGCACTAGGACTGTACCAGTGGGACTTTGCCAGCTATGATATTCTCAGGTAAACCTTCCAGTTTAGGATTCAGTGTTCTTTAAATAAATAAGAAGTAGAACATACTAGTTTTAATGACTTACTTTAGATGGGACCAAAAGAATCTTGATAAAAATTCTGTAAACATCTTACTTCATGCATATTGTCAGGTTAAATTCTAATTTCTTATTTGATAATACAAATCACTTGATTGCTGTTTTGGTTTATGGCCACATGGTACTCCTCTTTCACATTTTCATTCTGTAAGCTGAAGTGTTTCAATATAGAGTTAAATCAGACTTCAGTGCCAGGAGTTGTGAACGGGAAACTGTAGTGACCCAAAGCTAATGGTGCCACAGAGACTGCTGTAAGAGAACCAGGCAGACATTTCTGAGGGTCCTTTGATCAGACAAGAAATTAAAAAGACTTTTTCCTTACAGCACTACTGATCTATCATTCTTGATAATGCTGTGGAATGGTAGTGAAATCTATCAGACTGCAGTAAGGGATCAAACATGATGGCATTCTGTTTCCATAAAAAGAATGAAGCTGTATCAATTAGAAATGGTAGCATCAGACTGTAACTTACTAAAGAAAAAAGTGCATTTCAGAACTGCTAGCAGTTAACTCTTAATTCAAATGGCCTGAATATTTGGGGAGTGTCTACCATTGAAAGATCTACTCCTAAAGACATGCTTCTTATCAGTAAGAGTAACAGGGTAATTTCACCTCTTAGTTTACCCTCCCATCTTTCAAAAGAGAAAGATGTTCTCTTACTGGTGCGAATGGATTTTCAGCTCCATACATTTTTGTGCCTCAGTTCTGTGCTTTATGTAATGCTATGATCAAATGTACAGCCAGTTGTGGAAACCTCAACTCTTTAATTTCTTTTCCAAGTTTTATTTAATAAGGGAAAATATCGTAAAGATATTGGGGAACTAACAAATATTTTTCTTTCTCCCCAGGATGAAAAAGCTTAACTTAGCATAGAGCTATATCAGTAAAACAGCATTCTGTTAAGGACCAGTCTTGGATGATTTATCTTACCTGCCTATCACAATAAGGCATTTCTGTGTTTTACTTCTGCCTTTTAAAAGAGTGGTCAAAAGATTAGCAAGATGTTTTACCTCTTTAAGATATTGAGACATGAAATCCATATGGAAATTTATTGTAAAACACGAGTATATTTGTTCTTCTGTGTGTATCTGGAAACAAGGCTTTTTTTCCCTTGAGCTCTGCAAAACAGTCCCTTTTAAACCCTAACTTTTATTTATGTTCAGAAGGGTCTGTCCTGAATGCACAAAGTCAGAACTGAAACCACAGGCCTGACTGCAGCTAAGTGTTCAGTTGCTTAATTTGAAAAATTTGCATCCAGTTCTTACTAAATTCTTTCAGAAGGGTGAGTATAGACACCTAAGGATTTGGTTTAGTAATTCAAGCTCATGACTACATTGTGAGTTTCTAACACTGTTTTCTTGTCTTCTAGGGTTATCAAACCTCCAGACTTCTTAAATGTGTCCTTGCTGGGCTTTGGAGAGATATTTGCTCTACTATTTGATAACAGATACCTGTATATAATGGACTTGAGGACAGAAAAACTGATAAGCCGCTGGCCACTACCAGAATATAGAAAGTCAAAGAGAGGTTCAAGTTTTTTGGCTGGTGAAATGTCTTGGTTAAATGGACTAAATGGCCAAAACGATACGGGCTTGGTTTTTGCCACCAGTATGCCAGACCATAGCATCCATTTAGTGTTATGGAAAGAACATGGCTGAAAAGCTCACATATGCAGAATCTTCAGGAATATATGGACTGTCAGCAGCGTGTCCATAAAATGAGACTTTGCATGAACCAAAGTTGCGCACCCAATGGTATCATCATGCAATGCACAATCATTTACTTTTATTTGGGCATTTGGGCATGGGTTGTTTTGGACATAATGCAATACAGCATGCTAACAGTATTCACCACAACATTTTGTCTATACTCATGTTTAAATATACCTATTTGGGTTCTGAAGCATAGCTTGTAATGTTTAAACCATTCAAGTCTGCTGTCAAGTCTGAAATGAAGTAGTGCTTGACCTGACTTCTGACTTCACAGAAGGTGAAGCTACTATTTTAGAACCATAGGCTTTTATACATCTAACAGCAAATACTGGTTACAGTGCATGGCTGCTTAACAAAAATGAGAAGATAGCAAACCTTTTCTATCTCCAGAATCTTTCTCCAAAATGTTTTTCTTTCTGGTAGCTTTAAATACTTAGCCTTTGAAATAGAAGAATCACATGAGCCCTTTAACTAGGATCAGATGTTAACAATAATAATTTCTTTAAGTTCAGGAACATGTCAATGTGATTTCTCCTCAGCAAGAATGAGGCAACTTTTCATCTCTTGACAGAGCTTGCCATCGCAGTTAACCGCAGAGAACCTCTGACAGTGTTCATCATAACTCAGAATGGCTTGATCAGTATTTTATAGTCCTTATTTCCTGTAGTTTGTGTTAGAACATAATTTAGTTCACAGGTAGGTAGAAATATAGTGAATAGGAAGGTGATTTCGATCTCTACAATAAGTCACTTTCTTATATTAAATTATGTCTACCAGCCATTCACTTTTTCCAGAAGTTGCAGTTAACATAATGCACTTAAAGTACTTGCTACATCTAGAGTTGGAAAGCAGGGGCAAATGACAGAATGCCACATCTCTGGGGAAAAAAAAAAAGAAAAAAATCAAAAGTCTGCCGGAAAGCACAGGAGTTGAAAAAAGGTCTTATTGATCATCAGAGACCTGACGTACAGAAGGTAACTGCTGAGTAGCAAATACTTGTTCACATACTTTTGTGCTATTTAACATGTACTTAAAAGCTGTATCTATGACATCACGTGCTTTAGAAACGCTTTAGGTTGGTTTCCCCTCCTCCCTTAAAATAAAATCTCCCCTTAATGTCTTTTTTTTTTTTTTTACACAACATGAAAACAGGGGTTTTCATGAAGATTGGCTCATGTCCTTGAAAAGACAAAACTGTTCGCATTACTATCGTTAATATGATTTTTTTCTTCCCACTCTCCAAGGAGACCCAATTTCATACTTAGGACTGAATGAAGGCCAGGGTTCCCCAATGTCTGCAGTATTAATTACACCAGTGGGAGTTTTCATATGCAAGAATCAGTATTTGAGTGATGCAATAGGAATTGCATGAAGTCACAGTGGAGCACTGTCTCTTAAATTCAAGGCCAGAGTCTTAAGCACTCAGTTTTCCACCTTTATTCATACCAATTTACTTTGAAAAATGTTTCTGTAGTCAAGGATTTTAAAAAATTGAACCCAAATTCACAACTCTCAAGTCAAACTGCACTCAAAAGTGAAGGAAGCTTACATGAAGTAGAAAGCTTTCAATTACTTGTCTTGACACCAAGTTTTCATCATTCTTAATGTAGGAGTAACTACACTGTGTATGATGTGTGTGGTAACTCAGCTTCCTCTGAAGGAGCCACCTGTAAAACAGTGTGTTAACTGAAAGATTAAACAGGAGCATGCCAGAAATGTCATTGTACCCAGATCAGTGAAACAGGAAAATGTGGGTAACTACTTTGTTAGTGACCTTGATGATGCAGAATCCAGAGGGGTGGAGCACAAGATGACTGAGAAACTGAAAGCCAAGTTCAGCCTTCCAGAAAGAACGGTGGGGAAAAGGAAGGTGGTGGTGGGCAAGGGGAGGGGAGGCCCTGCTACTGTCTCCAGCTAACTAATAAGGAACTAAAAGAAGACAAAGTCAGACTCATACAGCAAGACAACGGCCAATTGTCACAAACTGCAACAAGAGAAATTCTCTTGTTAGAGGTTAGGTTAAGTCTGGAACAGGTTGCCCAGAGAGACTGTGTGTCCAGCCAGCCTAGACAAAGTCCTGAGCAAACCATGCTATGAGTTGGACTTCCAGATGCCCCTTGCAAACTACATGAGTCTAAACTTCTAAGTGGACCTGTTACTAAGCAAGACAGTACCCCTGCAGCAGGCACCTGGGCTGTAAATACAGCTGCCAGTTTGTTGATACAAACTTTCGGAGACATTGCAGCCACTCCGAAGCAAATGCTGCAGTTAGCCAAAAGCTGTGAAGTGGTAGTTGAAAAGGAATTCTGCCACAGGTATTTCACAAGTTGCAGAAAAGTTTAAACTAAATCAGAACTCTAAATTTTCCTTTTCTACATTGCCCCAGAGTATGCAAGCAGAAACCACAATGACAAGCATCCAGTACACACTACGCTGCTCTTCTACCCTTTTAGTTTTACAAATGAAATTTTAACCAGTAACATAGCAGCTAATAATTATGAACACAATTAGCAAATAGTTTTTTAAAGACTGTCTCTTGAAGACCTCTAAGTAAAGTTCCTCTTGGACATCTGCTAGCTAATAATACTAATCTAGTACTGACAGAGCTCCTTAAGGGTATGTGCCACCACAAAATAGATGAAGAGATGAAAGAGTGACACTGGTGTAGAAATATAAAAAAGCAAACCTCTCACACACTTCCCTCTGTCAGACACCAGTGTCAGACTGACTGCCCTCAGATGTGCCTTCAAATGAATGTTCTAATACAATGCCACAACAGTACAGCACATACAGCTTTGGGGACTTATCAAACAGAAAATATATGACTGAAACCGTGGAACTACACTGAGGTTTTTTTGTTTGCTTTGCTTTCCATCTGACCCTTCAGCAGAAGTTAGCAACTACTTGGCACTATTTTTAGATAAAGGTTGGAAAAGATGCAGCTTCTGTACCCTTACACCTACACAAGGAAGCAATATAATTCAACTTACCCACCACATAATGGACTAAAAAAATGCAACTCATGCCTAAATTTCATGAAGAAACATTTTCTTATGAGGCTTCAAGGTCCCAAAAAACCCCCCAACAAACTAACATGTTTCATAAATAGTTGTTCAGCCATCCATTTTTTTCCTCCTCGAAATAGCTTCTTTTCAGTTCACAAAAGTCTCTTTAACGCCAGGCTGTTTCCCTTGCCTCTGTTTTAAACCTTTCCAACACAATTCAGCACTTACCACTTAAGTAATTCAGAACAGCTGTGGGTAATTAGAGTGATCACTCTTCTTCTTAAACTTACATGTCTCAAAAACCCAGTTGAACAGACACTGGGATCAGCAAAACTCCCAACAGCTGTTTAGTGTGACAATACATCACCACTTTAACAGACACTATTTCCAAGAACATGAGGGGTTAATTTTTTTACAGTTGAAATGTAGAGCTAACACAGTAATTTACCTTTTACTCGGTGCATACAAATTTTGTATCCAGTGACATACAAACTTCAAGAATTAAGCAACTTAGGTTTAATACTAATGACTATAGCTGTATTTCTAGTACAGTTGAAAACTGATTTGCATTATCTGAATCAGTTGAGAAATACCGATTTTTTAAATTTATTTTTTTAACTGAAAACAAATTTTACAAGAGTGCAATCTACATTGAACTTTAATATGATTAAATGACTCCTGGCTCTGCTATAGATTCCCTAAATAATCACTGCAAAATGTAACCTTCATGTGGAAATCATTCTGATGTGCTCTTTAACCAACCTCCTCTGCCTTCCCACAGTAAGGGTGGCTCTCCACTTTCCCTCCTTAGAACCGAGGTTTCCCTTTTGAACTTACAGTATGGTTTGAGATAGCACCTTGTTAACATTCATGATTAATGATGAGTTGTATCTCCACAGGGCTGTATCCCTGACAAGGGATTCTCTGGGGAGGTCTCTTTGAAGGGGCTTCCGACAGTGATAAATGAGGGCAACATCCATGGGAACATTCACGCTGTCCCCATAGGCATGTAGGACAGAGTGGACAGAAGTCTGAATCACCTTTTGTGGATCAACTATCATCTTCCTGGGATTGATTACATCTTTCCTGTCAGGCTCTCTGTGAACATGCTGTAATATGTTAACACCTGGCACAGTATTCCAGGACGAGATGTTGAACATGGGAGTAGAGATGGTTTCTGGGAAGATATGGTTCTCGAAGAGGAAAATGCCAGTCCCTGGATTTTGTTCCTGAAGGCTGCTCATCATTGTTTTCCAGTTTGGATGCTTAAGAGGAAGAATTATTTCATCAGCATCATTAAGAACCACAAACTTGCTCCTTTGCATGTTACGGTATATACAGTCATTTAGAGCTGTGATTTGTCCGTAGTAGCCAATGTGTGTTCCATCTTGCATGAAGTGCCATTTAGAGGAAACCTTGAGGTGTGAGTTTATCGGCCAGGGAATTATCTCTACAGTTCCTTCTTCTATATAAAACTTCAAGACTTTCTCCATCAGATGGCTGCAGTTGTTCTTATAGATCACCACTTTCTGTGCTCCAAGAATCTTGTACATTTCCAGACTCTGTATGAACTGCAAGACATTGTTGTAGTTTCCAAACATGGCAGAGATGCACACAGTGAAGTCAACAGAAAAGGGCTCAGGCTTGCGGTTTTTAATTTCAAACCTTGGCAGCTGGTCAATATTTCCATGTGCAAACGGATGAATTGATACATGCGTTGGATCACAGTTTTCAGGTTCCAAACAAACTATATCTGCTGCACCATAAGGGAATCCAAATCTATCTGAGTGAACATCAATTTTTGCATTTGATACATAGATCTTTCCATTGGGCTGACAGCAGAACCAGCAGTATAGTTGTTTCACATCTTCGTGGTGAACAATCCCAATCACACGAGTGACTTTGCTTTCTCTGTCATCAAAGTACGGGGATATAATAAAAGTTTTGTTATCTTTTAATGGTGTTATTGTGCTATTGGCAATTTCCCCTCTACATTTGCTACCTTCTTGAATTACTTTTGGCTGGTGAGAAAGTCTCTGCAACCTAAGATAAGAAACTGTGACCATTGAAGTTAGAGTAATAATGCACACAGCAGCAACAAAGTAAGATTTTTTCCTGCCACACAACATTCTGAATTTATCTAAAGGTGGATGTAAATTTCTTTGTCCTTGTACTTTATGTTGCCACATCTGCAAAAAAGAAAATACGTAGTGTATGAGATAATATCGACTCATGATAATTGCTCAAGAATTTCACAAATAAGATGGGGGTAAATCTCTATCATTTTGCACTGACTTAATCAGAGACCCAGCTACTGTGCTTTTATGTAAAATCAGCCACAGAACACACCTTTAATGGTATGGATGATACTGCATGTGACACTCTGAATGCCTCCATTTGTCAGATGTCTGGAGCAGTTTCTGTACATGGAGGGGTCTGTAGGAGAATATAACAGAGGTCTATATACAGCAGCACAAGGAGTAATTATTAATCATTATTATTAATCAATATTTTCTATAATCCAAATTTTAGAATAACCAATTTAATAATTAGGCAGTAATTCTTAAAGCAAAGCAAAACTTTTGTTTCCCCTACAGCGTATATTATGTAAAAAAAATCCTTGCAACCAGACTTCTCACAGACAAGCAAGAGGCTGATATATAAATTAAATTTATATAGAATTAATCAAGTTCATAATAAACATACTAATTGGGGATTGCACACAATGGTTCAGATATAATTGCTAATTTATAAATTTCCTAATTTGCAGTTCACCACAGATGAGGCAATACATACAGAGGAAGGTCAATTCATACAATCCAGCAGTAGACAGGTGAAATCTATGCAGGTATTAAACTTATTCTCAGTTGGCAGCTCTACCCTACTTGGCACTGTACAAGGAAGGGCTTGCAGGAAAGGTCACCACATATGAATGCTCACTGGAGATCAGGGCCCCCTCACCCTGCTTTAATGCTGGCTCAGCTCCTGGAACATTTTGGCGGTCGGTTCTTACACTCCTGCTGCTGCAGGGACAGACAGGCAGCCCTGAGTCCTGCATGGCCACAGTCTTGAGCAAGTGTTAATGCCCAGACTGGAGCTCAGGGCACTCTCAAGCAGTAATTTCTGCAAATGGAGCTCAGATTGAAGTTTTCTCTACAAATTCATCTTTAGGCATTGAGATATGATCCATAAACAGTAAAGTAACAGCAAGTCTCTTCAAAGGCCTGCTTGTATCACAAGGATCTTTGGAAAAAGTGTGTCCCAGATTAATCAAATTCATGCCAGATCAGAAAACTAGACTGGAAGAAGAGTTTCCCCAGCTGCCAGCAAGAAGTGTGGGGTAAAATGCCAACACGAAATAAAGTGATGCTGTTGCAGAGATGAAGAAAATGTTTCTAGTAAGCAAAAAATAATCATTCATGCCTTCAGAATAATGTAAAATATTTTCACAACTGCTCTTTCATGAGAAAGCCAAGTAAGGAGAACTACAATCACAACACACTCCTTAAAATGCCCCATTTGCCAAGGGTTATGATTTACAGCAGCCTTTGCCAGCTACCAAGAAACTGCTTTACAGATTGGAACAGTCACAGGGCACCAGAAATCTCACTGTATCCCACTAGGCGCAAAGCAGAAAAGGAGCAGCAGAAAGCACTGACTCCTCTGTCTCTGAAACGGAGAAGTCCTTCCCCCAGAAGTTCTTACAATTAGGATCAGAACCGCAAATACATGGTAAGAGTCTGCTACTGTCACATTGATTCAAAGAAACCTTTGAACAATCTGAAAAGCACTTCTATTAGGGCCGGGGAATGCAAAGGGGTAGGTGTTCTCCCCAGTGCACTCCCCTGAGCAAAGGAATACCATAGCTTTTTATACAGTTTGAAAGTAGCAAGTTTAAAATTATCTATACACACACTCTTTTTGCAGTCTGCCTTACCTAAATAGACACTTAGTTTTACCTCCTATTCTTACCATTATAGAGTAGTTACATAAAGTTTTATCACTTCAAACAGTTTCAGGTTCCCCACCCCTCTCTACGTGCTGAAAAGCCTTCCCTGTTCCCTAAGCTATTTTTATCTTAATTGCCCACAGTTTGGGCAGAAACTTTTAAGCAGTTTTATATTTTGCGAAGTCACACTTACATAGCTAAATTAACATAGATAAATTTTATTTCATTTTCTATTTCAACATGACTTTCAGCTGGAGATTTGTGACTGAAAACAACTCAAATTTTCTAAGTCTTTTTATGAAACATTCTAAAGTACAAAAAGCTTCCCCAAGCATTCTCATTCCAAGGATGTTATTATATAAATTAGCATTCTTACAACATAGAGGAGGTCACATTTAACATTTTTTCCTTAGACTTATCTATTTATGACTTAAAAATATTGTTCAGTCTTTTAGAATAGTTTTTAACTAAAGAAATATCAAAACATGTCAACATTAAATAACAGAATCAATTTATTACCTGCTTTTTTCTTCTGCTTTTGCTAGCAGATAATAAACAAGAAGAAATACATCTTTTCAACTGTTTTAAACAGTGAACACTGGAAAGGAAAAAGTACCTTTTAAAGCAGATAGCTGAGTGAAGTTCTGTTCAGTCCTCCATTTATTTTTTGCTAAGGTATTTTGCTGAGATAATCTACCAATTGTTTCTTTCAAACAGATAAAAACTTAAATATTTTTAAGGTAAATTGCAAGTATTATTCAATACAGAACAATACTGAGGGAAAAAAATCCTGGTACAATACCTAAGTCAGCTATGGACACACTGTATTTCAGATAGCTGGTGCTCTGTTAATGTCGGTAACAGCAGCCACACCTACTAGAAAAACAAGTTTTCCTTCTCTTGAGCAATGAATACAGTTGTGCCACAAGAACTTAATTTAAATTACAAATGAGTGTGGAGTTGTTGAAGCAAATCAAACATAGGTGATTTTCTTAAGGCTACTTAAGTTTCCTTCTGGAAATTAATCTTTCGTGTCCATATATCCCCAGTTCACACACCTACTTAAAAAGAACTAGAAAAAATATACCATATATCTGTATTTATTGGGCAATCATTTTTTTCCTAACACACTATAGGCCTAGTTCAAATAGGTAAATACAGATCCTGTGAGGACCTGTGAGAGAGTACTGAAACAACAGCAGGTTCTAGAAGCAAAGAAAAAGAGCAAAATCTAGAGCTCAAGACATACCAGAACACAGAATCTTAAAGAAAAGAAATACACAGTTATTTAAGGAGTGAAAATCATGGTTTCCCCAACATACTCATTAATTTTGACCTCCTGAAATCAACAGCACAGATACGTAGTCAGAAAATACATAAAGTCAGTGTAATTAGGAGCATTCAATTTCTTCACTACAGAGAGTACTTGGCAAATTTTAACTTCAAAAGTATGCTTTCAGCATATTTAAAAGGGTTTCTTTTATAAAACCAATAATAATTAAGTCCAATTTTGTATCTTTTAATTCCAATTAATATGCAAGTAGAACATGATACAAATTATACAAATTTGTTTTAATGCTAAATTTAGCTACTGGTATCAATGGCTACTTTGCAGTATTCCCCCTAAGCAGGCTTTGTTCCTCCTCACTGCCCTGACAGACAGACAGACTGCAGTCGTATCACCTCCCAGTCTTTGTATTTGTTACTGTTTCATTAAGCAAGACAAGCTGTTCTAAAACCGCCTCAGAAGAAACACTCTTCCTTTACCAATCACTTCTGCGTGCTTGGCCAAGGTTCAATTAATCTCCAATACAGGAGACTAGAAATCTCTGTCCCTTGTCCATTTGTGCATGACAATTAACAAGCCCTCATCATTGTTGGAAATTTTCTTCCTTAATACATGCCAGGATTACATTTTTTGAAGGTGCATCACATCACATTGGCTGAGCTTGTCATCAGCCAATGATTAATATACATCTGCCCAGTTTGTTGGCCAAGTGCAGTTACACAATGTGTTTTCTTCTGCGGCAAGGTCACAATAAAGAGCTCTTGTCACAGTTACGATCATAGAATGGCTTGGGTTGGACAGGACCTCCAAATATCATCTAGTTCCAGTCTCCCTGCTGTAGGTAGGGGCATATTTCAGTAGATCAGGCTGCTCAAATTAATCACATTTCTTCTTATTTCTTTTGTCACAGTCCTTCTAAAATTTTCTCTCAAAGCTCGTATGGGATCAAGAATGCACCTACAAACTTTCATATACTTAAATCATCTTTTTTTTCCTTCCTAAACCAAGGAATCACTCATGCTTTAGCCACATTGTACCACTATGCTCACAACACTTTTTAATAAACTCCTATTATAGATTCTTCCAATACCTGGTCTGTCTTCTTAGAATTTTGAAATGGAAATTGTTCTGTATTGCCTTCCAACTGGATGTTGTTTTTACCTTTGCTGCACAGCTTCTACTTCCAGAACTTCTTTTCCGTCATCTGTCTTTAATCCTCCACAACTGACACTAAAAGGTGGAACCTTAGTCCTTACTAAAAGGTGGAACCAAGTGCTAATTTAGTTCAAGAGCCATTTCTTGGTAATTGTTTATCTTCCTCACATGCTCTCCGCATTATGGCCTTCCTTTGTAACTTGTTTTCTTTGCATGGAGACAGCTGAAGACCTTTTAAGCTGCTCATTTCAGTATCTTCACAAAGTTTACACTGAGTGAAATTTTTGATAACTCTCGGTTTATTTATCTCCCAATCTAGGGTAAGGATAGGGGGCAAACTGATAGAGGTGATTGCAGAGCTTCAGTTGCTAATACAAAGCATAATACTAGATTCAGTAGTACAGAAATAATAGACAGCCTAAGCCTTGGTTTACGCAGGGCCTAAATAAAAACCCACGACTAACAAACAGCCTTAGTAACTTATTATTTCTGAAAAAAGGTATTTTCTATCCTCTACTTTATGATTTTTGTCAAAAGTAACAACACAAACCACTGGTGCTAAATAAAAATTCCAAATCATTTACCATCTTTATCTAGATTGTCTGTTGCTAATCTTTTCATAGATTACATTTTTCAGAAAGACTCTTTGACACACCGGTGTCCTTCCTCTCTTATAAGATCCAAAGTCAGGAGCATATTGTTTGAAGGATTAAACTGAAGGCAGTATTATTCCACTCCTTATAAAATACTGCTTAAAAAAAATTAAACTGGCCATTTCTATTCTAAATACACAGATGGTAAGCCAGACCAATATACAGTGTTGCCACATACTTATTTTGTGCCATTAGAACTAACAAACCACACAGTTCCCTGTACACTCATAAACTTCTCCATGATAATCTGCTGTGCATCCCTAAGCAAACTCCTCCTATGGTAAACAATTAGACTTTGTGTCCACTGGAAAAAAAATTGATCAGGCAAAATCAAAATTGCATGACATTTAAAAGATTGTTATTTCATCTTTTTGTCTTTCACACTGTACTTTTTTTAGCTGGACCAGAGTTAATTTTCTCCACGGTAGCCAGCAGGGTGCTGTGTTTGGTGACCAAACTGAGTGTTTCAAACACATTGCTGTTTATCTATCTCTGAGCAGTGCTCACACAGCGTCAAGGCCATCTCTGTTTCTCATGTGGCTCCTGTCCCAGAAGTAGGGCAGCACAAGAAGCTTGCAGGGGATACAGCTGACCAAACTGATTCAAGGCCCTTCCCACACCATATGATGCCACACTCAGCAATCAAAGCTGGGGAGAGGAGGAGACACGTGACTGACAACATGTAGCTTTCCAAGTTACCATCAGACCTGATGAAGCCCTGCTTTCCTGGAAATGGCTATAAATGTGCCTGCTAAGGGGACATAATGAATAGATTCCATATTTTGCTTTGCTTGCACACGTGGCTTTGCTTTACCTCTTACACTCTTTACTCAACCCATGAATTTTTCCACATTGGCCCTTCTGATTCTCTCCCCATTCCACTGTAAGGGGAAGGGTGAGCAACTGAGCTGCCTAACAGGGTTAACCCACACCACACACTGGAACTACTCTTTAGAGCAGTTATACATTGCTTTAAATCCAAGATTAAAGTCCACGCTTGGCATGTCTTTAGATGTAGACTCAAAAAGCCTGGTTTGGACAATTTGATTTGTACCTTTAACTTACCATTGAGTGGTTAGCACCAGTACCGTAAAATAATGCTGTAGCTGACGACCATCTGATTTTACATTTCTTGAACGGAAATAAACTCCCGAGCCTCTCCTGCGAGCGATGCCAGCTGCAGGAACCCGAGCGGGTGCCGCAGCCCAGTCCCGCCCGGGTCCCGCCGGGCCGACCACGCGCACACGGCGACGGCAGAGCGGGGGCTCTCCCGGCCTTCGGTCCCGCCGCCGCCACCAGCGCCCCGTGCGGGCACCGCCGCGGGAGGTGGGCCGGTGCTACCGGAGCCCTCGCGCCCCTTCCCCGGCCACCTCCGCGGCACGGACAGCAGCAGCCGCAAGGCGCCCTTAAGCCGAGCCCGGCAGGTGCGCTCGAGCCCGTCATCTGCCGCCCGGCGAGGCGGCGCCGGCTGCGGCCAGAGAGACCCCGCAAGTCCTCGCCCAGGCCGTGCCTCAGGCAGAGCCCCCGCCCGCCGCGGTGCGGGTGGGGCCGTTCGCATCCACCCCCGCACGGCGCTCCCGGGGCGGCTGCTCGCAGTATCGAGCCGGGCTGGTGCCTCCGCACGGATCGCTGGACGCGGCACCGGCGGTGGGCGAGCAGCCCCTGCCAGCGGCCCCAGCGGAGCGCGGCCCGAGGAGGCCCATCCGGCGGGCAGGGGAGACTCGGCCGGAGGCGGCGGGAAGCCCGGGGCGGGCGGTGACCTCACCTCTGCGCCTCTGGCCGCGCCCGCTACCGCCCCGTCCCCCGGGGCGTTGGGCAGGGAGGCCCCAGGCGAGACGCGGCGGCCAGTCCTGGAGTATTTCGGGGAGCAAGGTCTGCCCGATCACCCAGGTCCACGTGCCGTGTGCCGGGGAGACGCATCCCTGGAATGAGCGGCATAGACAGCCCAGGTGCAGGAGAAGGACCTCAGCAGTGCCGCACCGTGCTCGGGGAAGTCTCCGGACTCGACCCTGACGCTGAACTGTCACTTACACATTAACTTGTGTAAAATGGAGAAACACAAGCCGAGCATTATATTTTCGAAATCCGAATCAATCTTTAAAAAAGTACTGGGAAATTTGATAATTACACAACGATAAAATCCAGTAGTTTACAGGAGTCCTGTCTACTTTTGGAGACAGACCTGATAGCTGAATCATTCCTACAACAAAATACAATGTTACCATTTGAACGAGTTCCATGGTGGGATGCTTTTTTCTATTGTCAAAGGTCATAAGTTACAGACCTTTTTTTTCCCTGTGAGTATTAGAGAATTTAAACATACAATGCATTTATTGCTGGGGAGATGGTAGCATTAAATGCGTATGGCAACACCTTTACATTATTACACTTCAAATTGTAGCAAAGCCAACACAGTTCACTTTCAAAGCCAAAGATGTGTATCTCCAAGGGGATGTATCCTTGATAAGAGCTACGTCACACCAATTTCCTGCAAAGACATATAACAGTGCCATCAGGTACTTCCCAATCACGTGTAAATATCATTAAAAAATAGTAGACTGAAGCCTCAAACACCGTTTGTGAACCAAATAATTTTTTCAATTTTGAAAATCTCTTCCCTGGATACATTGATTCAGTTCACATATCAAATGCATATATAATTACACAGTACATAAAAGGGCTACTTTCCTAAATCACTGCAAAATGTAACCTTCATGTGGAAATCATTCTGATGTGCTCTTTAACCAACCTCCTCTGCCTTCCCACAGTAAGGGTGGCTCTCCACTTTCCCTCCTTAGAACCGAGGTTTCCCTTTTGAACTTACAGTATGGTTTGAGATAGCACCTTGTTAACATTCATGATTAATGATGAGTTGTATCTCCACAGGGCTGTATCCCTGACAAGGGATTCTCTGGGGAGGTCTCTTTGAAGGGGCTTCCGACAGTGATAAATGAGGGCAACATCCATGGGAACATTCACGCTGTCCCCATAGGCATGTAGGACAGAGTGGACAGAAGTCTGAATCACCTTTTGTGGATCAACTATCATCTTCCTGGGATTGAAAACATCTTTCCTGTCAGGCTCTCTGTGAACATGCTGTAATATGTTAACACCTGGCACAGTATTCCAGGACGAGATGTTGAACATGGGAGTAGAGATGGTTTCTGGGAAGATATGGTTCTCGAAGAGGAAAATGCCAGTCCCTGGATTTTGTTCCTGAAGGCTGCTCATCATTGTTTTCCAGTTTGGATGCTTAAGAGGAAGAATTATTTCATCAGCATCATTAAGAACCACAAACTTGCTCCTTTGCATGTTACGGTATATACAGTCATTTAGAGCTGTGATTTGTCCGTAGTAGCCAATGTCTTTTGCATCCATAGAAAAGTGCCATTTAGAGGAAACCTTGAGGTGTGAGTTTATCGGCCAGGGAATTATCTCTACAGTTCCTTCTTCTATATAAAACTTCAAGACTTTCTCCATCAGATGGCTGCAGTTGTTCTTATAGATCACCACTTTCTGTGCTCCAAGAATCTTGTACATTTCCAGACTCTGTATGAACTGCAAGACATTGTTGTAGTTTCCAAACATGGCAGAGATGCACACAGTGAAGTCAACAGAAAAGGGCTCAGGCTTGCGGTTTTTAATTTCAAACCTTGGCAGCTGGTCAATATTTCCATGTGCAAACGGATGAATTGATACATGCGTTGGATCACAGTTTTCAGGTTCCAAACAAACTATATCTGCTGCACCATAAGGGAATCCAAATCTATCTGAGTGAACATCAATTTTTGCATTTGATACATAGATCTTTCCATTGGGCTGACAGCAGAACCAGCAGTATAGTTGTTTCACATCTTCGTGGTGAACAATCCCAATCACACGAGTGACTTTGCTTTCTCTGTCATCAAAGTACGGGGATATAATAAAAGTTTTGTTATCTTTTAATGGTGTTATTGCATTTTGAGCAATTTTCCCCCTACAAAGCTGACCTGCTGGACTGGCAGTTGTTGCCTGGGGGAAGATTTTTCTAGTTATTGTATTCGGTAGCTGAAGATCTTTCCAGTAGCAGATTAAAATGCTGGCAAAAATAAGAATACATGCAACAACAGCACATATATGTTTTTTTCCACAGTGTATCATTGCTGAATTTCACAATTTGCAAATTAATAGACTTTTATACTCAGTCTTCAATTCACTTTCTCTAAAACAAAACAAACACACAAAAAATGCACTTTTAGTGATTTGTCAAAAAGGAGTAATGTTTTGTATGGACCTGTACTCTCTTAAATACAACTGTTACTGTTTTGATACCTCAAAATCTAGTATGAAGAGCTGACTTTTCATAAAGGTTTGGAAAAAAGTGAGAGATTCTCTTACACCTTCTCATTTCGAGCTTTGTTATATTTTACTCTACAATTGGGCGAAGTGCAACAGGTTCAGCTGTTTTGATATATAGTAATGGTAATATAGTGTAATTTGAATCCCTTTGAGGCCTAGAAGAAACTTTATATTTGAGAGAACCCACATTCTTTATCATTTGATGTTCTGAGAAGTTTGTAAAACTGGAGAATTATCTTTTCCCCTGTTCTTCCTAAAAAGGTGCTGTGAACACAAACTGCATTTGTATGAGTGATCCTGTCACAGTCTCTCAGTGTCCTGATTACCAAGTCACAATGAAAATGTTTTTTGGAGCCTAGTAGGATCCTATGGTATTCAACACTGTCTAGGATCTTTTCATTTGATAAGGTGACTGAGATTACGTAAGCGTAAACTGCTTTTGCCACTAGAGATGCTAAGTCTCAGACCACAGTTCTAAACTGGCAGTTGATTTCAGTAGGACTGAGAAGGTCTTGGAGGTGCTGCTGGACAAGAAGCTTGACGTGACCTGGCTATGTGCACTAGCAGTCCAGAAAGCCTGTGTCCTAGATTGCATCAAAAGTACATTCTCCCCCTCTGCTCTGCTCTCATGAAAGCCCACCTGGAGAACTGCATCCAGCTCTGGGGTCCTCAGCATAAAAAGGACTGAGGAAGGTAGAGAAAACCAGAGCATCATGATAGAAACTTTTCTGTGGAGGATGATTTACTGCACAGGACAAATTTACTAAAGGGGGAGATGAAACAAAGTGATAATAAAGTTCTAATGTCTGTCATGATTTTTTGCAGAAATACAGGATCCAGGTTTGTTCGTTTGTTTCTTTGTTTTTATACAGATGCTAAGTGCAAAAAATCATTACACTGTTCTGGTGAAATATGTTTTCAATCATCAGTCTTACAGCAGGAAGCAATATGCCTTGAATAATTCTTGTTAAATTAGGCCTGGGAAACTTACAGGAAAATTGCATTCTTAAGATTTAAGAAATAGTAGAAAACTAGTAGTGTCTTCCTGCAATAAAGACCAAATCTTAAAATATGCTTTACCTTTTGGAACACCACTACTGTCTAGCCAATATAAAGAGAGCAATTCCTGTATATACCTCTGCACAGAAGTCTTCATCTTAGTTTTATGTACAAGTTATGCAAAGCAGGAAGTTCACTCAATTGTTCCCTTGTCCCTCACGTCTCTCCTAGGTGAAGCAATCTCCTGCTCCTTTTTGAACTATGTACAAACAAACTTTTGCTATTGTTTCTCTTCACTTTTTGTATGTATACCTTACCCAATTTAGGCAATATAAATTCATCCCAATAACTTGTTTTCAAACAATCAATCGGCAGTTTTAGCATGCCAACAGCATTATTATCCACTTGATCTGGAAAAAAGTAGACTAGCATTCGAATTAGAAACCAGGGGCTTTGTAGGGCATGAAAGGTGACTGTGAGTAAAACTTTACAGACAGGGACACTAAAGAAACAAGTAAGTCCTTTTTACACAGGAACTTAGAAGTCTATACAAACTACAGAGACATGCAGAGATCCATATACTCTGTTTAAATAACCTACTCATCAAATAACTGTTTAATTTCTGGTAAGCTCCAGTGGTTACTGAGCACCATCCCATTTCTGTCTTTCATTTTGACCTGTTTAAAGGGATATTAGGTGATACACAAATTTTCCAAGAAAGGGATGGCATCAGTTCCCAAATATGAAATATGATTTTGGGTTCAGGCTTGTGCCACTTCTTTTGGAATCCACAGGCTGCAACCATTAGCTGATATCAACTGAACCAGGTGATTAAAACACTAAGTTTCTCTTTTTTCAGATGGGATGGGATCTTTAAAAAATGCAGCATTTCAACTATTGTCACAGCAATAATTTCTCACCAGAAATAGCCACTGTCATTCTGAAAAAGGATTATACACGAGGACTTAAGAGATACTTATTGTACTGCTTTGTACTTCCTTTGTTCAGACGAACATATATTGTCAAAGCCTTACTTCCAGTAAGGAACAAACGAGCACTGTTTCCACTTGTCTGATATCGCTGTGGTCTCTGTTACCGAAGAAAATATTTTCTGTGTTCAGAAACTGAAAACTATATCTCCTCTTCAAAAGAGGAATTTTAAAACACGTTAGCCACTCCGGACCTTCTCTGTTTGCTTAGGTT